GCGGCTCCATCCCAGGACCCTGGGCTCATGACCTGAGCCGAAGGCAGACGCTTCACCGACTGAGCCCCCCAGGCTCCCCAGTGTTTAACTGTTTTGAGAAATTGCTGCACTGTTTTCCAAAGCAGAGCTTATGAATATTTATATTAGCAGAAATTAGGAAATAACGTAGGTGTCAATAGTAGGAGAGTGCTTAGCAAACTGTTGGTAAAAATGCAAACTCTTTATTCCTTGATCACGTCCTAGGGGTCAAAGGCAGTTGAGATGTGAGAATTGTTCTCAAGGAGCTTAATCTATTCAACTGTTCCAGGTGATGTTTACGGAGAATTTATAACAAGGGAGGCAGAATATTTAGGCTATAATGTTAGGCCATCTCCAGGAATTTTGGGAGAGACTCAAGGTATGAATTAATAAGTATACATGTTACAAAGTTAAGTGGAAAAGGCTGGATAAAACATTGTATATACTGTGCCATCATGACCATGTCAGAAAAAAACCCCCAAAAGAACACAGAAAAAAGATGGAGGAAAACACACCAAAATAGGAATAATGGTTGCATTTGAGTGGTGGTGTGAATGGACATTTTTCTCCTATGTAGGTGTAGTTTCTAAACCCTTTGTAATGGAAGCAGAAATGCCCGAGTCTGCGTGTGGCGACTGTGGGAAGGAGTTAGTTGGAAAAATCTAACATTAAGTTTCTGGAGAGATGAGAACTTACAAACTTGGGCCGGCATACCTGTGAGTGGAGACAGAACCTTGGCCTTGCCTTGGGGAGGACTCGGAACACCGGCCCAGGGCTTTGCCCTGCCTGGCCCTTGACACTGGGCACTTGCAGAAGAACCACATGCTCTTGAGGAAGAGCCATTGGACATCAGGGTCTCCACCCAGTTGGAAGGATGACCGCTAGCAGCATGAGGGGTCACAAGATTGTCCAGGAGGAAGCCCTCCACCATGCCGAGGGTGCTGGTTGTCTCTGGTCACGGATGAGATCTCGCCTAGGTGGCTTCCGGCCTCAGCCTGACATGCAGGACTCATGCTTTTTAGCCAACAATGGCCAGAAAGCAGTCCTTGCTGAAAAACTAATACCAAAAGAACTCCACTGTTCCAGACTCCCAGACCTTGCCCTTCTGACAATGAAAAGGGAACCAAGAGTTACTCAGCTCTCCTCATTGTAGCAATGTGGTCAAATACATTAGAAAATTGAACAACTCGTCTGAAGCGATTTACTTATCACTGAAGTAATGTTACTCACCAACACCTTTCTTGGGGAAAAAACATGATTTTGGTATTGGTACAGTTTCAGATGTTCATGGAGGCATGTGCTGTGCAACAGAAAACCATGAAGTCTTTGTCCCGTAAACATTTTGGAATGATACTTAGGACAATAAATTTAGACATTCTCAATGCTGTTATTGAAAGTCATGCCAAAATGTGTCTATATGCGATGAGGTTGCAGCTGTCTGAAAATCTGTAGGGTGTGTCATTCTCATAGATGGATGAATCAGAAGAGCAGTGTAGATGTTTATTTTAATGTTCTTAAATAGGACGAAGAAACTTTCTCTGCATTTCACTGCCTCCTAGTAGAGGACAGCCTGGGTCATCACCACAAATGTCCACTACAGTATCTGATAGAGTGGGAAGGGATGTGAGGGCTTAGTATTTATTGGTTACCTATTGCTGCATCACAAATTAAACTCTGAAATCTAGTGCCTTCAAATGACAGCGAGCACAGGATTTCTGTCGCACAGGAATTTAGAAGTTTATCTGGGTGGGCCTTGCTTGGGTCTCATGAGGCGTTGTGGTCAAGATGCTGCCTGTGGCTGCAGTCATCTAAAGGCTTGACTGGGGCTGGTGGATCCACTCTCGAGGTGGTTTATTCATGTGGCTGGCAAGTTGGTGCTGGCTGTTGGCAGGAGGCCTCCGGTTCTTCTCCATTTGGGTCTCTTCATTGGGCTGCTTGAGTGAGCTCACAACATGGCTGCTGGTTTCCCCCAGAGCTGGCAGTCTGAGAGAACATGGTGGAAGCACAGTGTCTTTTATGACTCCCACCTCGGAGGCCACACACTGTCATTTCCACAGTATCCTGTTGGTCGCACAGCTCCACCCTATGCAGTGGGGGAGGGGAGCACACGAGGCCATGAACAGCAGGAGGCAGGAAGCATTGGGAGCCGTCTCAGAAGCTGGCCGTCATGGGTGTCCTGCCGCAGGGGTGCGTGTTTGACAGTGTGATGGGTGAAGCCAGGGAGTGGGTTTATGTGCTTCTCCTTGCTGTCAGATAGCCCCTTTGCTGCATTCTGCCTGCCCAAGGGACCCCTGTCTTTGCCTTCTAGCTTACCACTTCTGTCTTTTGGGAGTTGGAAAACTTCCATCATTGAGCCTGTCGAGACTACTGTCAGGTGAGTAGATGGGCTCAAAGTGTGGGCCCTGTGGATCGATGAGACCAACAGCGAGGACTCGATAACTTCTCTGTGGGTGCAGAGACCTTGCTTCCGACGTGAGCTGGACTGTGAGAGGCGTGCCTCCTCATCGGCTAGCTTTGTAGTACTGATTCCGTGGATGACCGTACAAACTCCATGCTTTGTTTGGAAAGAAAGTGGAATCCGAGGCATACAGATTCTGTATCAAGCCACAATAAAATTCACCGAGACAGTAGATGTGTCATTTGGTTTATTTTTAGAACAAGTATGGAAGTGTTATTATAATTACCTGCATTGTTTATTGGATCGAAAAATGAAAATAGGAACTTAAAATAGTTTTATGACAGTTCTTTTTTTTTTTTTTTTTTAACATTTTTATTTATTTATTTGACAGAGAGAGAGAGAGACAGCTAGAAAGGGAACACAAGCAGGGGGAGTGGGAGAGGGAGAAGCAGGCTTCCCGCCGAGCAGGGAGCCCGATGTGGGACTCGATCCCAGGACCCTGGGATCATGACCTGAGCCGAAGGCAGACGCTTAACGACTGAGCCACCCAGGCGCCCCTAGTTTTATAGCAGTTCTGAATTAATGAAGTGAATTGGGCTCTGTAGTGCTGTAAGGTCAGGTTTCCCACCTCTATTTGTTGATGAAATGAGATCATAGATGTGAACATGCTTAGAATGTACCAGTGCTGGGGCGCCTGGGTGGCTCAGTCGTTAAGCGTCTGCCTTCGGCTCAGGTCACGGTCCCAGGGTCCTGGGATCGAGCCCCGCATCGGGCTCCCTGCTCGGCGAGAAGCCTGCTTCTCCCTCTCCCACTCCCCCTGCTTGTATTCCCTCTCTCGCTGTGTCTCTGTCAAATAAATAAAAAATCTTAAAAAAACAAAAACAAAAAACAACACACCAGTGCTTGGGCATTTTTCTCTAAGCTTATATGTGAATCTAGAATGGCAGAGATGTGCTCAGGACTCCATTTATCTTAAAGTAGCATTGTTTTTGTTGTGGTTTGGTCCCCTTCGGGACCGGAATCACGCACCACACCCTGCTGTTACTTGCTTGACTTGGAACGCGCCACCATCACGCCATTCGGGGCCTGCCGAGGAATCGCGCTGCGGACGTTGGTGTTGCGGGATGGTGGGATGGACGGCATGCCGAAGGCTCATCCTGTGATGTTGTGCACTTTTGAGTGCATTGTATTTGGCAGGCTGGCTGTGGCGGATTTTACCTTCTGTATTTTGCTGTTTTGATATCGACTCTAACATCTTTTTTTTTTTTTTCTAGTATTTTTTTTTTAAGATTTTATTTATTTATTTGAGAGAGAGAATGAGACAGAGAGAGAGAGCATGAGATGGGGGAGGATCAGAGGGAGAAGCAGACTCCCTGCTGAGCAGGGAGCCTGATGCGGGGACTCGATCCCAGGACTCCAGGATCATGACCTGAGCCGAAGGCAGTTGCTTAACCAGCTGAGCCACCCAGGCGCCCCTCGACTCTAACATCTTAAAACTATGTGTAAAATGAAGACGAATTACAATCTATGCCGCTCTGATGGTGTTTATCAGTTTCTAAATGCTACTGGGAGAGACAGAGCCTGGTTGTCTAACCAGTTTGGGGAAATAACATGTTCAGAATTCATACTGGTCTTGTGAGGTTTGGCTGTGGTTGCGGTATCTCACTTTCCTGGGGCCAGGGACTTGAACAGAAGATGTGGGAGGACTGAGTTAGTGAAATTTAGGTTATCGGATTCCCATGCATACCAGTCACTGTGCATTTATAGAGACAGCCGAGGAGATAGCTGCCCAGACTCAGACAATTATAAGGCGTGGCCTATTTTATACAACAGCTGTCTTGTCAATCAATGTGATCATGGGATGTGGGGGAGGGGGCGGTTCTCCCTTTATCTGGGAGAAACCCTTTATCTATCTATGTCAAGCCAAGGTTTCCTTAGTCACATTTACTTCAAAGAGAGAGGTCTGTAGACAATGTGCTTTTGTTGTTTTTCTCCAGAAAACAAAAAGGACCCTTTGCCATTTCCGACTCTTACTGTCTAAGGACCACAGGCAGTATGGAGTAGGTATCTCCTTGTATTGGTGCCAGGCTTGCTGGGCTTTTTGCATTTGGTCAGGGGGTAATGTTTAACTCCTTGACTGATGACCTCTGGTAGATGAAACTTAACCAGTACGTTTTAGATAGACTTAAGCTGTCATGTACGGAAACATTTGGGGGGGCATTTGTAAGGGAATGAGAACAAAACACGGGTGTTCTATTGCGGAGGTTCCAGTGTCATCACCTCATTAAGCATAGGAAGAAGATGCTCGTTTTACCTGTTTTGTAACTGTCCATATCTATTTTCGCTGCTATTTAAAGTTGCACTTTGACATAGGAATGCTTTTAACTGCGAGTGTACTGATATTGTTGCTGCATATTATTCAGGCAAAGCCAGTGAATTAATATCCCAACTAAATAGTTGGAGCAGAAGCAGTCAATTAGATGAGATAATATCTAATTTTGTATTAAGACCTAATTCTAGAGTCGATGCAGCAAACTTAACGAAATTGACCTTTCAGATTTGCTTTCCTAATTTTATTTTGCAGGATAACAAAGCCGTTGACCTTTGCCGATTGTGTTGGGGATGAACTTCCTTTAGGATGGGAGACTGTATACGATAAACAGATTGGGATTTATTACATGGACCACATAAATAGTAAGTAGACGCCCACATTTGAGTTACTATATGTGAATGAGTTACTATCCAATGCAGCATTCAGCTGGATTTTATAAATGTAACCTGAGGTTGTCGTTTGTGGAGTTCTTCAAAAAGCGAAGCCGTTGTGTGGCTCCTTTGCTTGTGTGTTGCCCAGGATTGCACGGGATATGTTTAATGGACGGTTTTAATGCCTAATAAAGGGAATACATTTCCCAGGCAGTGTGGAAATAGAAATATCTTTCATAATGAGAAGGTTGTTTATTACAAAGTGGAGCTTACAAGTGCTTGGAACAATAAATGTCCAAGTGATTACCTTAACTTCATTTTGTCTTACACATTCAGTTTCAGTTTCAATACACCAAGCCTTTGTGATCTTTGTGAAGGGAGAAAACTGTGTAAAGACTACAGCTCGAGGGGCGCCTGGGTGGCTCAGTCGGTTGAGCGACTGCCTTCGGCTCAGGTCATGATCCCGGAGTCCCGGATCGAGTCCCGCATCGGGCTCCCGGCTCGGCGGGGAGCCTGTTTCTCCCTCTGACCTTCCCCCCTCTCATGCTGTTTCTCTCTCGCTCGCTCTCTAATAAATAAATAAAATCTTTAAAAAAAAAGACTTACAGCTCTTGGAAGAACTGGGTAGAGCCGTGGCTCTCGACCAGGGCTAATCTTGCTTCCCAGGACCGCTTGGCAACGTCTGGAGGCATTTTCCGTTGTTGCGCCCGGGAGAGGAGCTAGTGGGCGTCGAGTGGGCAGGGGCCAGGGCTGCTGCTGAACTTCGTGCGCTGCGCGGGACAGCCCGCCGCACAACGCGCTGCGCCCCGAGTGGCCGTGGGGCCGACGTTGGCACACCCCGGTTCACAGGCTCCATGCTGGTCTCTGCCCCTCACTCCTGGCTTGCCGCCCCTTCATCAGCCTTCCTCCATCTGGTCCCAGCGGGGGGCTCCACTTCTCTCTCAGATTCCCACTTTTGCACTCTCTCCCATTTTCATTCTAGCTACCCTCAGTGTTTCTGTCATTTAATCATTCTTCACTCCTGGGGACATGAAGCGTGGCTTCCCCTCGGCGGGTTTTCTGTCCTTCAGTGCATTAAGTGTGGGCGGGGGAGGCTGGGAGGGCCCGAGGCCGCACGATGCCGAGCCCCGTGAGCGATCTGAAGCTCTTTGCTCACTCCGGTCCCATGGCTCCTCACGTCCCCTTAGTGCGGTCGACCCAGGTTGGTGTCTTTGGGGCCGATTCCCTCATTGGCGCCTCCTGGCCAGCCTCCCGAGTCAGCATTCGGAAACCTGAATGGCGAGACTTCCTTTCTCAGTCCTGGGGCAGTGGAATTTCTGATGCGCGGTGGTCAGCCTTGCACTTGATTGCAACCCTTACCCGAAGACTGGGCATTGGGGAGAGGAACTGCCCTGGCTCATCTGCGCTCCCAGGCAGTTATCTAAGGGGCAGGAGGGCTTCTGGGTAAATCCACCAGCCACCGGACAGAGAGCGGCGCTTAGTGAGGCTCCTGGAGGGCAGCCCTCCCTGTAGCCCCAGCTGACCTGGTGCCTCACGATGGTCGGTGTTCGAGGTGTCTTGCTGTCTGGGCCTCCCTTCCCGGCTGCTGGTGGGCAGCCCCCGCAGGTGAGGGACGCCCCCGCAGGTGAGGGCTGCTGCCCCATGGGCCTGGGCACATGTGCACCGGGCCTTCATCAGCAGTCTTTGGCCTCTCCGAGCCCAGGTGGTATTACTGAATGGCAGAGGCATCTGCCTTACCCAACCTTTCTGGAAAGTCTGCCTGCCGCTGAGGTCCTGGACCCGTTCTGGCTCGCCTCTCTTGTAAACCCAACATCCTCATCCCTCTGTGCCCCCTTCTTTGCTGTGGGCATTCTTGCTCACCTGCTCGCTGTCACAGGGAATGTTTGAGAGCGCCTCTCTGTGCTGGCCACTCTTTGGGCTCTGGGGACGCAGGGAAGTGAGACCCAGTGTCTACCCTCAAGGATTCCTCATGACACTCTAGACGTGGCCATGAACCCAAAAACTGAGTAGCCACCAAGGACTTTCTTCTAGCCACTGAGTATAAGTGGGATGACTCAGCACTGCGGGTGATGAAGACATCAGAGAACCCAACTTTTTTTTTTTTCCCCAGGAACAGGAAAGGTTATTATTGTTGTAATAAAATGTACATGGAGGCCAAACACTGCGTTCCAGAAAACTTTCTCCTGAGAACCCAAGGCTTCATAGCACACCTCTAAAACTCTTTAAAGGCACGGAACCTGAGGAGTCAGATATTAAATTGGAACCGTGCAGGTCAACCAGAGGGACCCGGGTTGACCGCCTTCGAGGCCCCCAAGAGCGTCTGGTGTGCTGGGCAGAGTGCGGGCCATGGCCGCGGGCCACGGCGGTCCTCAGTGCTGTGGACACAGCCGTGACTCTGCCCCGCCCCAGGCCCACGGAATGTGAACTCCGGGCTAGCTCAGGACCCTGATTTTTGTTGTTGTATTTGGTTTCTTATTTCCTGGTGTGAGCTTTTGAGGCCTGGAGGGGCTTTCCAGTAGGGGCCTGGGGTGGCACTGTGAAGGGGGGTAGGGAATATTGGCGGAAGGCGGTTTAAACGGAGAACTTCCTTGGAACATCCTAGCAAGCACTTGTGTGTGTGTGTGTCTGTGGTAAGGTAAACGTGACATGACATTTACTTTTTCAACCATTTTGAGGTGAAATCCACAGAACATAAAATTAACCATTTTCAGGTATAGAGTTTGGGGACATTTGGTGTGTTCTGCGTTGTACAGCCACCACCTCTGTCTGGTTCCAGAACATTTCATCACCCCAAAGTCAAATGTGGAACCCATGAGCCGTCACTCCCCATTCCCCCTCCAGCCTCCCAGCCCCTGGCCACCATGAAATCTCCTTTCTGTCTCTCTGGATTTGCCTCTTCTGGACATTTCATATAGATGGAATCATACACTATGTGGCCTTTTGTGTCTGACTTCTTACACTCAGTATGACGTGTGTGAGGTTCATGCGTGTTGTAGCATGAAGCGGCACTTCATTCCTTGTTACGGCGGAATAACCTGCCATTGTACGGATAGGCCACGTTTTATTTATCCACTCATCAGATGCTGGAATTAAGGCTGTTTCCACCTTTTGGCTGTTGTTACAGTCCTGGCCAAGCACACTTAATTAAATTTATTTATTTATTTATTAAGATCTAATTGGCTTTATGAAACGATTTGTGAGTCAGGTAGCATCTCAACTAGCAAATAGAGGAGAGCTCCCCAGGTACATTTTAAAAGAGTTATTTTGCTTGCTTGCTTGCTTGCTTGCTTTCTATTTTTTCAAATTTTTATTTAAATTCTAGTTAGTTATATGGTGTATTGCATATTTATTTAGAATTTGGGTTGGGGGAATTTTGCCAGCACTTCTCTGAGCTCTCCCTTACTTTTGCATGTACTTACCAATATGTCATCGTTAAAACAGCCACCACAGCCCGGGGTCTCAAAGTTTGGAACAGGGACACGGCTTTGCATTTTTTACTTAATGGAGGCAACACTTGTGTTGAAATGTCCCTTAAGAGATCTGTCGCAGTGAAGGAGGGGAGCCTTCTCCGAGTCTGGGTGTCTGGCCCGTTTGCTCAGTCTGCCTCCTCAGTCTCAGGATCAGCTTTTGGGAGTGTAATCCTCTGCCTGCAGAGCCGACTGCCCCGTCCGTTCCACATTCAGTGAGCTTGCATTCAACAGTTGCCGATGGCTTCTGGCTTTTGGATGACCGAAAGCTCCTGAGACTAGAACGCCGACTGAGGCCGCGTGCCTGCCTTTGAGGGGCTTGCAGTTTAGTAGGAGGGAAACAGAAACATGGAAGCAGTTAGGCGCCCAGCGGCAAGAACTGCAGTCCTCCCCATGGCACGGAGGCGTGTGTGCTTGCAGGGGCCGAGGAGGCTTCAGAAAGGAGCTGCTTTCAGAAAGAGACTTGGAAGGTGGTAGGGTTTCCTGGTGGGCAGAAAGGACAGAAGCTGCAGCACTTTGGAAAAATTCATCCTGGGGAAAGGACAGAAGGTAGAAATGAAGCTGGTGAGTTAGTCTCGGGACTCCGACATCATGCAGAGGATATTGCTTTAATAGAAGATACTCATGTGCTAAAGAATTGCGAGCAGAGTTAGGAAGGCGACTTTGGTGAGCACACTGAGCATGGCCTTTGGTGGGATAAGGCAGGAAGCCTGCGTGGTTTTGGAGAGGTGTCATGAGGATCTGAGCGAACTCAGGGGAGAGGGAGTGAAGGGTGTGTCGCCAGTCATTATTATATCTAGGGGCAGGAATCACCAGTTCTTGATGACCCATGGAATATTCTGGGTGAGGGAGAAGAGCAGGCACTCTCTGGGGATGAACCCCAGGTTGGCTAAGTGGGTAGATCCAGATGATGCCGCTCACTTCGAGAGGCGAGGCAGAAGAATAAGCATGTGCTTGCGGTGTCACTATTTGCTTCCGGTTTCGGTAGTAAAAGGACGCTGTGTGAGAATAAGTTCTGCTTTGGACGAACGACCTAGAATTACTCTGGGTCCTTCCAGGGGGAGATGTGTGTAGGGGGCAGTTGGAAGGAGAATGGGAACCCAGGAGAGAGGCTGGAGCCAGAGGGAGGCATGAGCCTCCCTTGTAGAGTGAGGAAGCCGGAGTGGAAAAGGGGAGAATTTATAGGTGGGAGGAGGTGAGGAAGGTCACAAACATCGCAGAAGGGCTGCAGGTGTGGTGTGAAGGCAAGGGGGAGGGGAGCAAGCTGGATCAGAGGGGCATCCCGAGCCAAAGAAGTCTGCGAGAAGAAGGTTGGAAATAGCCGTTAGTTTGACGGTGATGAGCTCATTTGGTTTCATCTCCGCCAGTGTTTATTCACGGTGTGAAAAATTGTGTGGTATCGTCTTCTGCCCTCCTCCAGCCAACCTTTGCATGTCCGTAGAGTTTTCTTCTCGTCTCAACTGTGGGTATGTGAACAGAAGGTGTTCTGCGCTATAGGAAGTTTTGTTATGTAGATGCTTCCATAATGTGCATCCTGGCAGTTAATTTTCACATCGACCATTTGCATGACTGCATGACTGTTGGTCAGCCTAAAGATTTTACTCTTTTTTTTTTTTTAAGATTTTATTTATTTATTTATTTGAGAGAGAGAGAGAGAGAGAAACAGCATGAGAGGGGATGGGGTCAGAGGGAGAAGCAGGCTCTCCGACGAGCCAGGAGCCCGATGCGGGACTCGATCCGAGGACTCCGGGATCATGACCTGAGCCGAAGGCAGTCGCTTAACCAACTGAGCCACCCAGGTGCCCAAGATTTTACTCTTAAGTCACTTACGTTCTCACCCTTTCCATTTCAGAGCTTACCCAGATTGAGGATCCCAGAGAACAGTGGCGGCGAGAGCAGGAACGGATGCTGAAGGAGTATTTGATCGTAGCCCAGGAGGCTCTCAATGCCAAGAAAGAAATCTACCAGATTAAGCAGCAGCGGTTCGAGCTGGCTCAGGAGGAGTACCAGCAGCTGCACAGAATGTGTGAGGACGACACCCGCTCCTACACCGGCTGTGAGTCACCGCCTCTGGGGCTCACGTGCGTGACTTGAGAAGCCCCCTCTGCACTAGGTTACCCGCAGACCCCGAACTTGACTCGGGCAAGCCCGCTTCCTAGAGTTCCTCAGCGCATCCTGTTAGGGAGTCAGTGTTGTGCTCTGGAGTCAGGCATAGCCTGCAGCCACTGCTTAGCGACAGTTTCTCAAGTGCCTGCCTTGTGCCCGGGCCCGGGATACGGCGGAGCCCAGGAACGCAGAGGTCCCTGCCCCCAAGACCTTCCGTCCGGGTGGGGAAGGGAGAAAATAGGCGAGTTTCCGGTAGCGACATGAAACCACCTCACGTGTCGTGTTTGTCAGTGCGGAAAGGGGCTTCCCCCAGAGATCTCTGCCGTGAATAGATCACCTTGGGAAGGTCACACAGCGGTTTCGGTGATCCTGCCTCCTGCCTGGAGAGATTCGGGAGCCGTCGCCCGTGTCGAGCACCTGTTTCTTTGTAGAGTCCTTTGTGGGGCAGTCCGCTGAAGGTGGAGGAACTCAGTGTAGCCCAGGGGGTCGGGGGGATGCTCTTCCCCCACCCTCAGTGAGACGGACGCACACTGATGTTCTCAGAGGGAATCCCCCTTAGTTTTCGAGGCTGCTGGACGTGGGCCCCCATTTCATTAGTACTCAGCAGATGCTCAGGTGTTCAAGGAACCCGGTCCAGTCTCAGAACCCAAAGCATGTTGTTACGGACACGGTCAGTCATCGCTGGAGCCTGTCCCCTCCCAACAAGAGTTGCCAGACCGAACAGCCCATCACAGGTGCCCAGGGCTGGGAGTGTTATGGGTGCCAGTGAACTTGGGAAGAACGTGTGGAAGTGCTGCTGCTAAGGGCTGAGACGTGGAGGGCCTTACCCGTGTCGTGACTGCCACGTTGCCGGGCATTTGGCTCTGGTGACACAGCCTTGAGCTTTAAAGACACGGTCAGAGCTTTATTCTGGGTTGCAAGTCAGAATGGAGTTAAGGCCAGGGGGCCAGAGGTCTTTCTTACTGCAACTGCTGTGGAAGGTGAATAGGCCTCACAAGCTGTGGGGAGGAGAGGGGTGGGGTGTCCGCTCTGTAACAGGAATTGAAGACAGGTCTGCATCGCGCTCCCTGAGAGAAGGTCAGGACTCGGGTTTAACGGTTGTTTCCAGGTCGTCTTATCTCTTGTTCTTCAAATATCGTTATCTACGAGATTTTTTTTGGTTTTTGGCTTTTGTTTTAACTATCCGTCAGAATGCAGTGCTCAGCCCAGTGCTAATTTTGAGGGGCAGGTTATCTCCAGAGTTTCTTTTTTTATAATGTCTTCCTCTGATTTTGGGTATCAGGCCTCACAGAATGAAATGGGAAGCGTTCCTTCCTCTTCTCTTCTCAGAAAGAGTTTGTGTGGGATTGGTATTTGATGGAACGTGATAGAATTCACCAGAAAAGCCATCTGGACCTGAGTTCATTGTGGGAATGTTTGTAACTATAAATTTTTATCAAGGGTTAGATAGTAAATACTTTAGGCTTTGTGGGCCATATGGTCTCCGTTGCAACTACTCAACCTGTCTTTATAGTGCAAAAGCAGCTAGGGACAATACATAAACCAATGTGTGTGGCTTGCTCTGAGCAAAGTGTGAACACAGGTAACAAGCTTGATTCGGCCTGCAGGGAATTTGCCAACTGCTGACCTAAGTTGTCAAGTTTATAAAGCTGTTTGTAGAATTCCCTTACCATTTTCTTAATATCTAGACACTCCGAAGTGGTGTCCTTTCATTCCTGATACTAATAATTTGTGTCTTTTTTTTTTTTCAAATCCGCGTAGCTAAACTTTTATTGATTGTATTTATCTTTACAATAAACTGGCTTTTGGGTTTTTTGGTTTTTTTTCTTTTCCCGTTTCTTGTCCATTTCTATTTTATTGATTTCTCTTCTTTATTATTTTCTTCCTGCTTCTTAGTTTGGCTTTACTCTGTTCTTCCTTTCCTAGCTTCCTAAAGTAGAAACTTAGATCATTGATTTGAGAGCTTTCTTACTTTCTCACATGACCTCTAAAGGTATGAATTCTTCATGAAGTGCAACTTTAACTACATGCCACAAATGTTGGTATTTTTTCAGTCATTTCAGAATGGTTTCTCATGTCCTTTGTAGTTTCTTTTTTGACCCGGGGTTCTTTAAAAGTCAGTTATTGACACTTGTTAAAGATGTCATGTTGTTGATTTCTAATTGAATTCCATTGTGGTCAGGAACTACCCATGTAAGATTTCAGTCTTTGGGATTCTACTGAGATGACTTATGGCCCAGCATATGGTCTCCCTCAGTGGCCTCATAGCGTTAGAAGCCCATGGCCTTGGTACTTCCGAGGTCACACCTGGCTGCTGCGGAGGCTTATAACTGTTTCTGAGAGCGTACAGTTAGCGATGTGAAGCCTGTTAGAAAAGTGACTTGACAGAAGCTAGGTTGAACCATATGAAGTTGTTGTTTTTGTAGCTTAAAAAGGGCTGAGTATTGGCAGTCTCATATGATTCAACCTAATAGAATGTTTCTTCCCAGTAGCCTTTAGGGACCTTATCTGTCCCCTAGTTGGGTTTGGTTAAGTCTCCAAAGGCTCTCCAGTCAGTTCTTCTAATAAGAATGGAATGGGAGAAAGACATATCAGAAAAATTTGGCAGGAAGTTTCTTGCCAGTGATTGAAAAAGACAAATTGCCTCAAGGGAAGATTGCCTACTACCCATGCCTCCAGGACTTTGGCTGCAGTGAAGGTGGGGGCTGGGGACCTGAGCCCTTGCGGATGCAGGGTTAGGACGACATCGAGCACCCCGTTGGATTCCACACCCAGCCCTGGGGGAAGCAAGAGAGGAGGAGTCCCAGGGCAAAGCTGAGCACGCAGATGAAGAGCGCGGAGAACTTGTAGTCCTTTAATGCTGGGACATCCCTCAGCATCAGTGTTTGTATTTCCATGGGCTTTTCTCTCCCTTGACATTTGGGCAAGTAGGGAATTGCACTCAGTTATATTCCTTCCTGTGCTCCGTAGAATTTAATGACTGCCCAGTAAAAAAACAATACTCAAGATGCTGTCCTGAGTGGTGCATGAGGAAACCTTTAGTAGAGGAAGCAGATGACTCTGTAGTGTTGACTTGAGATTCTGGCACGCTCATCAGAATCCCGACCTGCTAGAAGTGTCTATGTAGACGCGGTCTCTGCATCCACTTGTGGAAGTGGCCTCGGGGGCCACATTGGGCCTGCCTGTTTTCATGAAGGGCTGGAGATGCCAGTGGATTTTGCCAGGGCCTCTCGGCTCATCTGGGAAAAGACTCAGAATGGAATCTAGGACTTAATCTAAGTGCTTTACCAGGTTGCTGCTGTCTCTGGGGTTCTAACGAAGTTCTTTCCAGCTTGCCATTTAACCTGAACTACCAATTACGATGAGGAAAACTCTTTTAGATGACTCAAAGGAATTCTCTCTGGCCACGCCGGTCTCACACAGCCCAGATTGCTGTCAGGGCTAGTTGTCTAAAGCAGGGAGGCGTCTCCGTGCTCTCGTACTGGGAACAGAATAACATCTGGACTTACTTCTCATTACTTCCTTCATCGGCAATGACTTGAAGGGAAAAGAGCCAGTATTCAGTGGGCTAGTGTTATTATCTCTGCATTGTTGGGATTGCAACATTCTGAGGTGCATGACGCTGTCTTTGTTGTACACATGGGAAACGATCCTGGGAAGGCTAAGTTACTTCTTCAAGTTTACATAGCCAGTAGATGGTAGAGCTTGGACTTGAACCGAGATCTGTTTGTGTACGTGGCCTTCAGTGCCTTGTACTGTTTCCTAGACATGGGAGAGGCAGCGCAAAAGAGCTAATCGTGCTTTTTGAAACACCTTGCCCTCTCATTGTTCAAGTTATCTGGAAATAAAGACCGATTATAAATGGACAAGTCATCTGGCAATTTTGCAACACTAAAAGGGGCAAATGGAAGGCAGAGCACCATCTGCTTCTTGGCTTTCTTGTGGCCCATGGTAGGGTTGCCAAACTATTCATTTAGTTTCCAACAGATACTTACTTAGCACCTGCTGTTGGTAAATACTAAATGTTGGGGACACGATTTATCCCTAATGGCGGATGGTGGGGAAAATAAGGCAATGATGGTGAACAGAGGAATTAACTAAAACAGCCATTTTTAATATTGGAGCAGAAGGGTACGAAGGAGGGTGGGAGTAAGGGAGGTGCATTTCTGCCACACCCTTCACAGATTTCTCCCTGAGTTCTGGAAATCACCAGAATAAAACTCCATTCACTGGAGAGAAGAGATTTTGTGTCAATATTGGGCCATCTGGTATCTTAAGAATATCCAAGCCTTGACCTTTTTGTGTCCCTGAGCAAAACAGATTCAGATGCTGGCTGGATTTGAGCGTACATGTCCCCGTGAGACTAAGAACCCTACTCTGCTTTATTTCTGGGGGCTGCTCGGTACCCAGGCCTATTTTATGCTCCGTAGAGCGCAGGGCAGGAGCTGCTCAGCTGCTACTTCTCTGCAGCTCCGTGTTGTAGTTTTCTCCTACTTTCTTCACGTGTTGTGTTGTGTTGCTGGCAGAGGAGTTTTATTAAAATTGTTGTAGTGAAAGAATTTCTTGCAGCCTTCAGGATCACTACAAAAATTGAAAAGTGAAAGTACTACCTGACAGTTGGAGACCTTTGTGTTTCTTGACTTGGGTGGTTACATTTGTATTTGCTTTGCATTAAGTCACTGTTTTGTACACTTTGCTTCATTAACTTGTTAACATTGCTCATATCTAGCGGTGGAAAGAGGGAGGTCTTTTTCTTTTTTTAAATTTACTTTAAAATTTGTCTCCAGTTGCATGCATTTATTTCATACAGTGAGCGCTAATTCTCTCTGGGTGAAGAATGAATTGATTCCTCATCTAGAAGAAGATGCCCTGCTTTCTTCATTGTAGTGTGTTCTTCTCTTTGCCTTTCCCACTGAATACGTTGGTTATGTCGGAAGCTTTTATTCTGGAGCTAATCGTTCGGTCTTCCTGAGAAACTTTAGCTTCCGGATGCATTCGGTCGAAGTATAGGACCATTTGCAGGGTAAATTATAGTCTAATCCACAGGTCAGCAAATTATGTGTGGCCTTTGGGCGGACTCTTGTCCACTCTGGCTGTTTATAAATAAAGTGTTATTGGAACACGTCCACATCGACTCACTTACCTATTGTCTGTAGTAGCTACAACAGCAGAGTTGAGGAGTTGAGACAGAGACCATATGGCCCACAACACCAAAAGTATTTACTATCCAGCCTTTTGCGGAAGAAGTTTCCCAACCCCTGGTCTACACCAATAGCTCCGAACCCTGGCTACAGGGTATAATCTCCTGAGGGGCTTTTAAAAGCTGCTGCCTGGGCCCCACGCCCAGAGATTTTGATCTGATTGGTTTTGGGGGCCAGACATTTGTTTGTAAAGCATCCCAGGTGATTCCCAGAGTTGGGAATCCAGTAGTCTAGATTGACTTGTGATGGTCCCTTCCAGCAGCAGGCATATGACTTTGTTATCCTAGCTCCTAGGAACTACCGGAAGTCTGCACCAAAAGTATCTTTGGGTGGTTGGGAGAGTTGGCCTAATCTCCCGTGAGAAAGCGCTGACCCACCCTGAATTCCTGGGTTAGGTGGTGGTGAAGCTTGACCTTATCAGTTAGCAGTTTTGCCAACATTCTTTCTGAGGCTTTAAGCCCATCCCACAAAGACTGTCTTCCACTGGTTATCCTGAAGAGGGTTTCTCCTCTACTGTCTAGGTTGGGATGATGGCCACAGTCCATCCGTTCAACCTTTTGTTTTCCTTCATGCAAGCATGTTGGAGCTGGCGGGAGAAAAATGGATCACGCAGCGTTTTTCACAGGTTATTAGTTGGTAAGACTCAATCTTGAAGGTGATTGCAGAGCATCCGTGTCTATTGAGAGATAATCCCCTAGTCCGCCCTAGAGAACATTTCTGAGAGAATGCTTGGTTTGAATTTGGTGGCATCCTGTGTTATTTCTCTAGGTCACCTCTGAGTGGGCTTGTTCGATTTTTTTCTTCCTTTGCTTATGGTGCCTTTAAAAAAACAAATGTCATGTCCTCTGTTGGCCTGGGTTATTTACATGCGTGCCTTTGTCGCTGCTCTGGTAAATTAGTACCTGTCAGCATGGGAACTGTCAGGGCTTGCCGTCCTTTCTGCCAGAGTTCTCTTGGCTTCCTTGAGCACCTCCCTACAGTGCTGACGCCTGGAGGTGCACAGTTGGTCCTAAGGAGCGGTCTTCCGAGAAGCGTGTCGTCCCCTCAGGTGATCTCAGGTTCTCACAGCACAGAGGAGGCCTGTGTGGAGCAGGGAAACAGGGAGGCAGAGACAGACAGACACCGCAGCATACGTGTTTTCCCTTTTCAGTATGCCATAAAATCGAAATCCAACGTCAGTACTGGGGTCTGCAGCATCTAAGTGCTGGAGGGCCATGCCTTCTCCCGCTGGGAGAGCTGATCTGATTGAAGAATCGTGGGCAGCTGGCCCACAGGAGCGCAAGTGTCAGAGAGAAGTCCCTTTTTGACTGATGCAGATCGAGTCACTACAAACTTAGTCTCTGTCAAGTGGGTAAATGTAATCATCGTCTCTCACAAAGATTTTGTTAAAAGAGATTTATTTTACTTTAGAGAGACAGAGAGTGAGCAAGCGCAGGCAGGGGTGGGGTGGGACAGTCAGAGGGCGAGAGAGGCAGAATCCCAAGCAGGCTCCGTGCTCGGGGGCTCAATCCCACAACCCCGAGATCACGACCGAGCAAAATCAAGAGTCGGATGCCCAACCAACTGAGCCACTCAGGCGCCCCACTCTCACACAGATTTTATGAGAATAGATGAAATAAATGTGAAAGGCACCTTCTAATAGCAAGGTCTAATAGTTTACGTTGCTGTGGTCCAGGTGGACCGTAACCTTGTTCTTACATCCCCCAAAGTACTACCATATGCCTGAGTGGACTCCTTAAGCTGTTTAATAGTAGTGCCCACTCAAGTCTTCAAGAGAGAAGAAAGCTTTAGAGGTGAGAGTCTGATATTTATCATAAACCTTGAGATTGGAGACATGTCTTAACAGAGAAAGATAATTCTTTTTTTTAAACGTTGTGGAGCGTGTGCCGTGAAAAATGGAGCCTGGAGTCCTGAGGTATTCCTTGGACTCCAGAGATGGGTTACGTTGGACTTACTGGCAGAGGTAAGGAACTAAGAGTTTGTCTTTATAAGTTCAATTATATTATTAAAAGTTATGCCAGTGTTCACAACTCTCCTTAGTATTTGAAGATAAATGCACTCGCTGTTTTAGGTACTTGAGTTGCCTTTTCCCTCCTCCCAGTCCTTGAATTTTACAATTTTAGAGACCGTAGCAAAGCTAACCTTGAATGCTACCTACATAGGTAAAACCTATTCTGTCATTTAGGATGGTTTCAGCTGTAAGTAACACAAAAGGCTAACTCCCATGGACCCGAACAAAGGACATCTCTTGTCCCATTAACTGAATCCTCCGGCAGTGGGCTGGATTCGGCGCTCAGTGAGGCCGTGGCTTATCAGGCTCCCTCCCCCTCCAGGACTGGGCACACGCCGAGTCTCCCAGGGGAGAGGTGCATCCCCAACAAGCTCAGGGTCCCGTGAGTTAGGAAGGAGAACTGGGGGACAGGTTGCTGTGTGTTTGTCAAACTGTATCCTGTTATCTCAAGTCTCTCTGCTAATTTTCCCTATGAAATTGCGTAGGAGTTTTGTGGCGACGATTTCAGACCGTGGTTACTGCTGTTTCACATTGCAGTTAACTTCCCTGGACTTGGGTAACAGGGTTCCTTTCTATCCCATATGGGAACAATCCCAGGTGATAACTGTGGGCATTGTCTTTCTCAAATGCAGGGTGACACACAGGGAAGTGAGGAGTCTGCGAGCCCTGGGCTCATTGGCTTCTTACCTGGGTCCAAGTGGAAGTCCCCTCGGCTCGGGTCTGGGAAAGCTTTAAGTCCCAGGAGTTTAATGTGGAGATTTTACAGAAATGATTTCTGACTCTTAAGGGCTTTGTATCAGGTGTGGCTTTCAGTACTGATCTTAAATGAAGCCAAAGAGTCTGTCAAGATGGACGTTGTAGGGTTTGGAAATAGTCTTCATCTGAGAAAGAATTCTATTTTAAAAATATCTTACTCCATGTCTTCGAGAGATTACGATTCTAAATATAAGAACATTTGAGATAAAGTTGGCAAATGCTTAGCTCCTCCAGATATTTATTTCTAGTAGATTCTAATGGTTTGAAATTCTGACTGATAGGGACTTCAGTAATAAGTTCTTTATAGAACTGGTTTTGTTTTTTGTTTTTTTTTTTTTAAGATTTTATTTATTTATTTGACAGAGAGAGAGATAGAGAGAGCAGGAACACAAGCAGGGGGAGTGGGAGAGGGAGAAGCAGGCTTCCCGCGGAGCAGGGAGCCCGATGCGGGACTCGATCCCAGGACCCTGGGATCATGACCTGAGTTGAAGGCAGACGCTTAACGACTGAGCCACCCAGGCGCCCTATAGAACTGGTTTTTAAAGAGCTATCCGAACTGCTCAAATTCACTTCGGATGTAGTTCTAGTTGAGGCTATTAAACAATCTTGCTGTGTAAGCCACTTGATGACTCTGAGCCATCCTTTCTGTTACAAAGGCAGGAAAGGATTTTGAGCTAGTTTCTAGCCGTTGGCACCTAGTTACCTGAATGACAGTCACCCTTCAGTAGCCAGATCAAAGGAGTCAAGGAAAGATGCTGGCACTGCAGATGGGTCTTCTGAGCACGTGAAGTTACTGTCAGTGACCCGGAGGCCGGTCACACCAGCGTGGGGTGGCCGCAGATGAAGACAGGGGAACGCCCCACCAGCTAGGGCAGGGCTAGACTGCGTCAGTGCCGCACACAAGCGGACGGCCTGCGCAGCCTAAGAGAGAGGAGACAGAAGCGTCACGAAAAAGCAGTGCAGGGAGGCGAGCAGGGCGGTAGCGATGGCAAGCAGCCGCTACGGGCTCGAGCTGCCGGATCGCTGGCAGGGCTCGTGCCGTCTGGCTGGCTGTGCTCGGCACACAGCTCGGCAGCCCTCCGCGTCGCGTTCACCCCCACGTACCGGCTGTTCGTACTCACCGCGCCGTGGCTCTTCGGGAGTTGGGGCCCCGCGTGCTGCGCTGTGGAAGGAAGCACTTAGCTGTGTGGGGTGTTCTAGCTAAACACGCAGCACAACACGCCGTGCAGCTTCCCCCCCCCCAACCCCGCCGAGTGTATCTGTGGTTTTTAACCCCAGTAATTTTGCAGTCGAGTTTCGGTTTACCGACAGCCATCTATTTTCTCGTGTGGAATCACGTAGAAAGGCCTCACGAAGAAATCAAACATCAAGATTTGAGGATGTGAGATGTGAATTCCTTAGGAGCCAGTGCCAACTTGTCAATCGGAGACTTAGAATTAATTATCGATTTTAGAAGTTCCTGTCTATGTGTATTTACTTATTTTAAAGGATCCATTATAAAATAAAATATTTTCCTTCTGTTTAGCCTTCTCTGGATATTCAGCAAATACAAAGTACGACCCATACCAAATTAAAGCAGAAATAGCAAGTCGTCGGGATAGGGTGAGTAAAATGAGTGCTTTCACAACTAGAAGCCCCATATGTATTTTTATGTACTATTGCTTATCATGGTTCACTTAATGGTGGTCAGTGTGTCTAACACTCATATTTTGGTTAAGATTTTCAATTTTGTGGATTATCATTACATTTGGTTTTACTCTTCACTTTCTTCTAAGAGGAGGGGGAAAGTTTTTTTTTTTTTTTAAGATTTTCTATTATTTATTTGAGAGCGAGAATGAGAGAGAGAGCATGAGAGGGGGGAGGGTCAGAGGGAGAAGCAGACTCCCTGCCGAGCAGGGAGCCCGATGCGGGACTCGATCCTGAGACTCCAGGATCATGACCTGAGCCAAAGGCAGTTGCTTAACCAACTGAGCCACCCAGGCACCCGGGAAAGTTTCTTTTTGAAAACACAGCCCATCTAACAAAAAATCGCCTGTATCCCTCTGTGTTTTTCAGAGAGCTAGACTCCTCCTGCCCAGTTTGGAAAGATTTGGTGACATTAGGCCCTGATCTCAAAGGACTGCTTCCCTTTATTAGTGGGATGGCAGCCTTAACCCTCGGCAGCTTTGGCATCTGCCGGTCTTCCCCGGTTGCTGTATTCCTAGGGAAATCCTTCCTGCAGTGGCATTTGACCAGACGGTTCTGATGCTCCTTCCCAGTGACACCGGAATCCGTTATGTGCCACCCCGTTTCATCCCTCAGTCCCTTATCTTGGTTGTGTGGGAAGGGGGACATCTTGGAAACGAAGCCGCCTCTTCTGGTGTGTCTCAGTGCAGGGGTTCTCAGGATCTAGCGCACCTGAGAAAAACACCTGCGGCGTTGACGAGACACGCGAGCCGCCAGGCCCAGCCCCTGAGTCTTGACACAGGCCTGCAGTGGGTGCTCAGTCTGTTGAAGTAAGCACTCAGGGGATTGACTTTCCCTAGTGGCACAGCATGCTTTCAGCAACAGCACTTCACGTGTGGGATCTAAGTAGTAAGCAGAGGGAAGATGAAACGAGTATGGCGTAGTTTGCTGATTGGAATGTGTAAATCACTACCTTGAGAAAGAAAGCAGTTGCCGGTTCCACAGAGGCAGGAACGTGTCAGTGATCCGGGATTCTTGTATCTAAGGAGACACTCCTTCCAGGATGGCTGCTGTGTATGCCCGAGGATGGAAATTCGTGGAGAGGATAGATGATCCAGTGGGTCGTGAGCCGATCAGGAACTTAGATGACAGTGCTAACAACTGTAGAAGTCATTTTCACCACAGCTTTTTTTTGGGAAAAAAAAAACAACAACAACGTAATTTGTCTTTAGCTTTCCAGATTAAAACGAGAGCTGACCCAGATGAAGCAAGAACTGCAGTACAAGGAGAAGGGGGTGGAGACCCTGCAAGAGTGAGTTGCCCGTGATCCCGGAAGGGGCGCTTTTCCTGCGATTTCCTCTTGGGCTCACCTGTGTGGTGTCTGCGCATGTGTCCTCCAGCTGCGTGGGCGTTCCCTTTTATGCTTTCTTTATGCTCCTTTCCCCCCAATCCTAAGCCTCAGAATCTTTCTTTTCCTTGAAGATACTTGGTTCCTTTAAGTGGAGCTACGTGGGAAACAAGACCTTTATTTTCTACTTATTCATGTTCTCTGTAGCTGCACCGTCCAAGACGCACGTGGCTGTTTAAATTTGAACTCCAGTCTTGTTCGTTTTAGCCTCAAAATTGTTTGTTCTAAAACTCAAATTTAAAATGAATTAAAGTAATTGAAATGAAATAAAATTAAAACTTTAGAACCCCAGTTACATAGCCACATCTGAAATGCTCGGTTGTCACTGTGGCTAGTGTAGATTTTCTCTACCTTGGCACGATTGACATTTTGGACCAGATGACTCTTCGTGCATCACAGGATGTTTAGCTCTGACCCCCTCTCACTTGTGACAGCCACAACTCTCTCTAGATGTCAGATGTTTCCTGGAGGGCACATGAGCCCCCAGTGGTTCTCAACTTGGATAGCACAGATACTTGGACATTCCCATCGTCACAGAACATCCTATTGGACAGTCTGGTCTATAAGTCTTCTTCCTATTGGCATCTTTACAGTTAGAACTTTATCCCTACTAAGAGTTTGGGGTTGAATTTCTTTTTTGTGAGCTACATTAAGTCAGCAAATTCAGTGAGCAAAAGTTATTTTATAAATGGTGATCTTACTCTTCTGAAAGAATTGATTTTCTTTCTTTTTTTTTTTAAGATTTTATTTTATTTATTTGAGAGAGAGAGCACAAGAGGGGGTGGGGTCAGAGGGAGAAGCAGACTCTCTGCCGAGCAGGGAGCCTGATGCGGGACTCGATCCCAGGACTCCGGGATCATGACCTGAGCCGAAGGCAGTTGCTTAACCAGCTGATCCACCCAGGCGGCCAAGAATTGATTTTCTCGAGACATACCACCCTGAACACGTCCGATCTCGTCTGATCTCGGAAGCTAAGCAGGGTCGGGCCTGGTTAGTACTTGGATGAGAAAGGGTATCATATGCTTTTCGATCGGTTGAGAGTCCATTCTCTCTGGATTCAGAGCCTGTCTTCACTTGCTGAACTTGAGCATGTGCTTCATGAAACCTTCTGTGTCTACTCTTCTCATCAGTCAGTGGGGATGGGACGGTTTTCGCTAGGGCTGCTATGACAAAATCCCAGAGACCGGGGGGCTTAAACAGCGGACATTGACTTCTCACGGTTCTGGAGGCTAGAAGTCCAAAATCAGGGCACTGGCAAATTTGGTATCTGGCGAGGGCCTGCTTCCTGCCTCCTGGCCCTGTCTTTACGTACTGCTGGTGGGGAGCTCTGGTCTCCGGTGTCTCTTCCTTTTAAAGACACTCGGCCTGTCATGGGGACCCCACTCTCATGACCTCATCTAACTCTCATTGCCCCCCCCCCCGAAAAGGCCCCATCTCCATATACCATCACATTAGGAGGTAGGGCTCACCTTGTGAACTGTGGGGGGCCAGGCCCCTTCAGTCCAGAGCAGCGATCATTGGGCCAAATAGTCCGGAGGGCAGCACCAGAGCTTGCTGTAGTCAGCCTTCAGCAAGTGGCCGGGGTCCGTGTGGTTACTCTTCTCGGGAAGGGTGGGCAGCATGCCACCCTCTTGAATCCTGTGTGCACATGCAACACAGTGTGCCCCATTGCTCTTTATAGGGAAGTGATACAAGAATGTCAGCGTTTGACAAGCATAATTATCTCAGCCTCATATAAAGGGTAATTACCGGGCATGTCAAACCCTGTTGTTTAATACTAGGTTGAGATTCACTTTCTTAATCATCCAGGATTGTTTTGGTTGATGATTTGTTTGCCCATTTTTATTTCAGGGCTTATCTATTAAGGACTTACAGGCACCAAGGGAGTCACAATAGAAAGGGGAGCTGGGTCCTGCCGAGGGGCACTTGGACTTGGCTCTCTCTGGCCCTGAGACCTAACCGTGCCCTCTGCAGGTCCCGCCACACGGTGGATTTTGGTAATCCCGTCCACATACTTAGTGTGACCTGGGGTCTTTTAACCCTACCGTCAGCTTTTTGCTTCTCTACCATTATCCAGCGGTGTGTGTGTGCCCGCGCACTTTCTCCCGTGATTTCAGTCCATGACGGGGGTTCCTTTAATTAGTCCTGGTCAGCACAGCTTCTTTAAAAAGTTTCCCTTAGGCAAAGCAATCTTCTTTTTCAATATCGGTTACCGGTTTTATTGCTCATCTTGTCCGTCTGCCCCGGTGCTTCCCAGCACACTGGTACATGTCCTGTAATTTTACCCCCATGGCCAGCCCACCTCCAGATGCTCAGATGCCTGCTAGGCTGCGTCCGTGTGTGCTGGGGCCACACTTCCCCGTGTCACTTCTGCTAAAGGGCCAGATACAAAGTAAGCAGAAGCAGATCATTTCATTTGGGAGGTCTTCTAAAGTTACTAGGGCTGTCTGCTTGAATCGGAGATTGACGCCATCCTTTCCTTTGGCCACGCAGTAGCTTTCTCTCATTACCAGGGAGAGCGGACACTTCCCAGGGTCTCCAGATCATATGACGTAACTGAATGCTAGGCATCGTGTGGGCTGCACATTTCAGGTGGGTCCCTTCTCCCTTGTAGAAGCTCTGGGGAAGGTGATGGAGGTTTGGGGCGGTTCAGGAACACTCTGAAGCCACACAGGACCCCCGAGCCTCAGAGGGGAGCCCGGCCCAGCACCTTTCCCCGCCTGCTCTGGCTTCGGGAGCAAGATTGCTGGGCCCGGGGCCCATCCCTCTGGCCTCCGCCACTCTGGCCGTGGCCGTTTCCTTCTCTGAACACAGAGGGTCTCCTGCCCTGGCGACTGAAGGCTGGGGGCTAGAAAAGCAAAGGTGCTGGGGCTCAGGGGGCCGAGGAAACCCCTTGCCCTCGGCGCCTCTAGGAAGTCAGTTTATCGTTCGTAGTGGAACAAATTTCAAGAAGAGGCAGAGGCGGCCTTGGTTTGTCCAGGTTTATGGGATGGGAGGCAGCCAGTGCAGGGAGAGCTTTGACTGGACCCCTGCAGGGGTAAGCGTGTCCCTGCCCAGGGGACCGTTCTCCCTCCCTCCCAGAGCCTGTGGGGATGCCCGCCCTCCCTGGGGGAGGTCGAGGAGTGGCATGGGAGAAGGTTCTGGACCCAGCCTTGGTCCTGGGGGACTCACTGAAGCTTTCCAGCGAGAGCTGCCCCGAGAGGCAGTGTTTAACCGGCTGTTTAACTGTATGTGCTCACTCTGTCCTCCCAGGAAGGAGACAAAACAGGGGCACACATGCCATGCTTAAAATTCTTGGCAAGTAAAAAATAATCTCGTAACCTTCCCCTGAATTACACAGGCTATGTAGGAGACGAAAACAGCCTCATTATTTTTCTGGTATTGAAGACTGCCTCTTATGCTTCCATCAAATCATGCCAGCTTGGTAATTTTATTGAGAAACTTTGAAAACTTTGTGAGCATTGATAATGTGATCACCCTACCCCTACTGTAAAATCCTAACTCTAAGCACAGGTAATACCTGAGCCGTGGTATGGAAAAGGGCTTCTTGGATATTATTACCAATGTTGATTTAAGGCAGAGACCCTAGATTTTCCTCCAGAAAATTTTCTGCTGTTCTTGCTTCCCAGAATATCCAGGATATTCTTTTCCAGAGCACCTTGCCAGGAGTTTAGCCGCTTATAACATTTTAAACTCTTACTTGTTTATCTTGGTGAACTTTCCTGGCTAGCAAGGAAATCCATCATTATGCTTGGGTCCAAGTGAAGGAAAAAGAACCTTTTGTTTTTTGTTTTTTTTTTTAAAGGTCTATGTATGTTGTTAATTTTTATAAATGGGAGCTGGCCATGAACACAGTTTCTGGGTTAATGATAGAATTAGGTGTGTGTGTGTGTGTGTGTGTATGTGTAATAGATATAAACTTTTAATGATGGAAAATGTCAAACATACACAAAAGTAGAAAGAACGGTAGCATGGAGCCCTGCTGTACCCTTCACCCCACCTCACCAGCCAGCCACACGGGGGCCAGTCGTGTTTTGTCTGTCAGCCTGTCGCCTCCCCCAAACCCTTAATGCCTTATTGAGGCAAATCCCAGAATCATTTTGAATCCACAAATAGCTCTTCTAAAGTTAGGGATCCCTTTTGAAAACATAGCTATAACGCCTGTGCCCCACTTAGTAGTCATCTTTTAACATCATCCCTTCTCCAGCAAGTTTTCCCTTTTCTCTGGTGTGTTTGGGTCCAGCTTTGGATGAGGCCTGCAAAGTATGTTTGGTTGGTGTGTCTCTGAATTTCCACTCCCCTGTCCTTTTTTTTCTCCTTTCTGACAACTTACTTGTTGAAGAAACCAATTTGCTCGTCCCATAGAATTTCCCTGATACTGGGTTTTGCCGCTTCGCCGCACATTTCCCATGTTCCTCTGTCCCCCGCTACTTACGCAGACTAGTGCAGTTAGTTCGAGAGGCTTGATCTGATTTGAGCCCAAGTTCTTTTTCTATTCTTTTTTGGGGGCGAAGTCTCTCTCGTAGCCGGCGGTGGTGGTACTTCCATCGGGAGCTGCAGACTCCGGTTGTCTCCTGCTGTGACGTGGAGAGCTTCAGTGGGCCCTGGCGTGGTCAGCCTCATCCATCCATTCATAACGTGGCCCATCAGCTTTACACCCGATGCTGTGCACGCGTACAAATGAAAGAGCTCAGGATAAGTTCCCAAAAGTGGGTCTGCTGGGTCAAAGGGTAAATGCATCGGTTGTATTTAGGAGATGTTGCCAAAGCCCCCTCTCTAGGGGTTGTGCCCTGTTGCCTTCCTACCACTAACAGAGGAGTTTCTCTTGCCACGGCTGTGCCGACAGAATGTGTTGTCACGCTTTTGCGTTTTTGCCAGTCTCATAGGTGAGAGATCGTTATCTC